TTAACCCCTGCGACCTTGAATATAAGTCAAAGTCATTCACTTTAACAAACATAGTTGTCCTTGATCCCAGCATATGCTACTGACTAAATATCAACATCCTGAGCCTTTCGGTTATTCAGAACAAGTTGTTGACATATTTTGAACATATTTGCTCCTTGTGACCATGAATGTGATTCAAGGTCATACATTTAAACAAACTTGGTAGCCCTTGATCCTAGTATGCTGCTGACTAAATATCATCACCCTGGGCAGTTTGGTTATTCAGGAGAAGTTGTTTAAAGTTTTAAACATATTTGATCCCTGTGACCTTGAATATGGGTGAAGGTCATTTATTTGAACAAACTCTGTAGCCCTTTATCTCAGCATGCTAGTGGCCAAATATCATTACCCTGGGCATTTTGGTTATTGAGAAGAAGTTGTTTAAAGTTTTCAACATATTTGACCCCTGTGACCTTGAATATGGGTGAAGGTCATTCATTTGAACAAACTTTGTAGCCCTTCATCTCAGCATGCTACTGCCCAAATATCATTACCCTGTGCATTTTGGTTATTCAGAAGAAGTTTGTTTAAAGTTTTTAACATATTTGACCCCTGTGACCTTGAACATGGGTGAAGGTCATTCATTTGAACAAACTTTGTAGCCCTTCATCTCAGCTTGCTACTGGCCAAATATCATCACCCAGGGTATTTTGGTTATTGAGAAGTTATTCAAAGTTTTTAACATATTTGACTCCTGTGACCTTGAATATGGGTGAAGGTCATTCATTTGAACAAACTTGTTAGCCCTTCATCCCAGCATGCTACTGGCCAAATATCATCTCCCTGGGCAGTTTGGTTATTGAGAAGAAGATGTTTAAAATTTTAACATATTTGACCCCTGTGACCTTGAAAATAGGTGAAGGTCATTAATTTTAACAAACTTTGTAGCCCTTCATGCAAGTTTGCTTCTGGCCAAAAATCGACACCCTAGGCCTTTCGGTTGTTAAGAAGAAGTCGTTTAAAGTAAAATATTGACGCCGGATGACAGACGGACGACGGACGCCGCGCCACGACATAAGCTCACTTGGCACTTTGTGCCAGGTGAGCTAAAAACTGGGTTGCGAAAGTCAAACATAAGCTCTGCTCATTAGGTATGAAGGACATTTGGGTTTCGCAACATATTATAAATGTCAACAATTTTACATATATTGTAAAACAACGTTTGTTAGACAATTTCAAGCAAGAGTGTGAGATTTTTTTGTTTCATCGCAATTGCATTGCATTCTTATCTTTCAAAACCAATTCCTGCTAATTATAAAAATGCTATTGTTAGATTACATTTATCTTCACTTTGTCTTCTTATCGAATCAGGCAGACACTGAAGTGTCCCACGTCAGCTTCGAACTTGCCCTGTGTGTCTAAATGATATCGAGGACGAATATAATTTCATGTTAAAATGCCCCTTGTATAATGATTTGAGAACCAAATATATTGAGCCCTATTATCGAATATATCTTTCAGTCTTTAAATTAGTTTAGCTTGATGGACAAATATATTATGAGCAAATTATTTAGTAGATAATTAAATGTTGTATCAATGGAATGGTCCTGTTAATATTTGTTGTTATTAATTTTAATGCAAAGGTTGTATCTATAAACTTATTCAGTTTATGATCAATAACGAATTACGAGATATGGACAGTATTGTACCTCATGTAAATAGCTTCTTTTATAATTCATAGTGCTCTATATAAGGAAGTTTGGGTCTAGTTTTCCCCCTATTGATATGTGAGCTCCTTTATCCAACTAACAACTTTATAATGTACTGATTAAGTTTCATTATTTAATATCTTTAAAAATATATTTGAATACATCAGAGTATTATTTTTCCAATACATGATATAAATGAAAAGTGTAATTTATGTAGTTTTCTTTCACACTGATGATGATATTATTCTTTGGAACCTTATGCAAGTTATAACAAGAGGCCCAAGAGGACCTGTATCGCTCACCTGAATATGTAAGCAGTCATAGCAAAATATTCTCATTAAATATTATGTTGAACTAAAAAGATTTCCCGCGCAAACTTTGTTGGCTCCATCTGTTGAAACTACCAGCAAAATATTATTACAGTTTCTATGCTTTTTGATTCTTCAGAAGTTGCTTGACATATTTTTCCCTGTTACCTTGTAAGTAGGTCAATGTCATTTTCCTTCTCAAATTGGTTAGCTCTATTCCAAAAGCTACCAGCCAAATCTTATAAATCCATTCCTTTTAGTTCTTAAGAACAAATCCATTAAAATGTTGTTGACCTCTGTGACCTGGAAAGTAGGTCAAGGTCATTTTCATTCGCAAACTTTGTTGGGCTCTTTCCCAGGAAATAACCAGCCGAATATTAAGGTTCAATAACTTCCAGTTCTTCAGAAGTCATTTGAACTGTTTTACATATCTGCCTCATGTGACCTTAAAAGTAGGTCAAGGTCATTTTTATTCTCAAACTTTGTTGGGCTCTTTCCTAGGAAGCTACAGGCCAAATATAAAGATTCTATACCTTTCAGTTGTTCAGAAGAAGTCGTTTGAAGTGTCTGACACATTTAATTTGACCCCTGTGACCTTGAAAGAAGGTCAAGGTCATTTTCTTCCTCAAACTTTGTCGGGCTCTATCCCAGGAAGCCATCAATCAAATATAAAGATTCTATACCTTTCAGTTCTTCAGAAGAAGTCATTTGAAGCTTTTGACACATTTGACCCCTGTGACCTTGAAAGTAGGACAAAGTCATTTTCATTCTCAAACTTTGTGAAGCTCCATCCCGGGAAGCCATCAGCCAAATATGAAGATTCTATACCTTTTAGTTCTTCAGAAGAAGTCGTTTGAAGTTTTTGACATATTTGACCCCTGTGACCTTTACAGTAGGTGCAGGTGAGCTAAAAATCGTAACTTTTTACCTGTAAAATCACAGGAAGATCTACAGGTAAAATATATCAGATAAATATAGTACATATATGATACAAACTATAATTACCCCCCCCCCCCCCCCTTTGATGTTTCTACCTATTGTTCTAAAGATGTATACGTTCAGGGAATACCCCTGCCGAACTCCATCTAGGTGAATTAATATTTCTGCTTGAATGTTTCAAGGTGTGTTTATTTTATTGTTGATCAATGCAATGAATTGATACGGTAATAGATAAATATCATGTCTCCCCATTATGTCTGTACTGATTAACCACAAAGTTAAAAGAAAGAGAGAATGAAGGAATGAAGGAAACACGGAGTCCGATCCTGCCCCGATCCATATCAATAATCAATACTCTTATTTCGCTACAATTCTTTTATCAAATATCTTATACCCGATACGCATAATTAAATATATATATATATACATATAAGTTAATTCGATCCTGCCGCGATCATGTTATTGCATTTTTTTTTTATCAAATATACCTTATACCCGATAAGGATAATTAAATATATACAATAAATATATATAAATAAGTCCGATCCTGCCCCGTTTCTGTCCATTCCTGTAAATCGTCGCCCGTTCCTGCCCAATCCATATCAATACAAACTCTTAAGGTGGCTCCACACTTTCGCAATTAACCAGCAAAATTCGTTGAAACTTTCATATAATTGTTATGCAACTATGTCGAGTTGATTTTATGAAAATCTAAACATTCCGATAGTTTGGGGAATTTTTTGGAAAAAA